ACCAACTTACTGCACTGCATTCAAAGTCAAATCATAGAGAATCAACACTAACGCTTTATCGTGGACAGGGCATAACAATTGAAGAGTTTGAGAAGATGAAACAAGGCGCGTTCGTATCGATGAATAATTTCTTATCAACAAGTACAAACAGAGCTGTTGCCGTTCAGTTTGCTCAACAAACGATGAATCACAATGGTGTCATATCGGTTTTGTTCGAAATGGATATTCAGGTTGACAAATGTATTAGTCCATTCGCAGCCATTGAAGAATTAAGCGCCGTGGAGATCCTTTTCTCGATCGGTACCGTATTTCGCATCGAATCCGTGGAAAAGCAAGATTTCACAAACATTTGGAACTTCAAACTTGCTCTGACTGATGAAGAAGATAAAGAGTTAAAGACACTGACTAATCAGATAAGACAAGAGGTTAGGAGTGAAAGCAAGTTGGAGAGTTTAGGGCTTCTGCTGCAGAAAATGGGTAAATATATAATAAAACAGGACTATACTTGCTCAAACTTCACCCAGTAGACCAAACGAAGCCTATTTATATGCTCGAAAGTAGCTTCAGTGATGCAAAATCATGCCATACACTGTCTTTTCTTCGAAAAAATTACTCCATTTCAATAGCACTATGTTCGGTAAGAATATTGACAATACTACTTACTTAACCAACTGCGAAAATAATTATCTCTGCAACCATTATATGTGTAGAGATGAAACTTTCAGAAAATGTGTAAGTAATAGCCACTATCCAGGACATTAAAATCTGCCAAATTAACTGACAGTTAACTCTCAGTTAATTGCCAGTTAACGGGCACTTTACTGGCCGCTTTTAGACCGTTCAGACAGTTTTTAGGTGGTTTTCTGATGGTTCGGATGGTATGATTTTACCACCGTAAATAGGCGGTTTTTCAACTGCCTAATTCCTTCGTTTTATTCTCTTTAGTTGAATCATCATCGATAGACAATGTGGACACTTTCAACTATCGAACATTACGGCACATGTTTAAGTACTAACTTTTCACAGTATCACTCAGCCAGAAAAACAACATTATTTTAAGGTTATGTGCTTAGATGACATAACACCAGAGTAAACCATCCTTTAGGCAGATACATAAAAGATAAGAAGCAGTAAATATTATAAAGAGACTTGCAGCAATTTCAGCGGAGTAATTATCGGTCCTTTTTTCTTCTTATTGTAAGTATTCTAAACCGTTTCAACAATCAATGATAAACTTTTAAAATCATTTCTCTTTTCAATGACATTCTTCGGTGTGTTTTAAGACACATCGAAGTTCTTTAAAACATAGAATTCTATGTTCTAAAGAACTGGTAATCACTTAGTATACCTTTTATTAGATGCGTGTATGCGGAAACAGCAATTCACCAGTTAGGAGATATGTACACAGATTCATTTGTCAATTCTACCTACAAATAAAGGAAAATGGCGGTTGTTTAAAAGTAGAACGTGAAATGGTCCACATTCAGAACCCAGAGAACTATCTCTCGTTCTCAGAATATCTCTACGTTACGTGGTTTTCTAGATCATACGACTCTACTTCACACGTCGAATGACCCTACAAATTGTCGCTTGGATAAAATGAGAGATTTGATATTTTCTTCCCATCTCTCTGCATGACATTTTTTAAAAATAATTTCTGTTCACATTAGATTTATACAACTTGGTTTTCCACCTTCAATTAACAGCTTTTCTGTGAAGCTTATTATTGAAAAGAAAAGTGCACTAAAGATAGATAGTCACAAGATAGGTTTGTATTGTAAAATGCTAAATTAATGCAAGTCATCGTTAACGACATACTGTTACCATTAGTGATGTGCGACATGAGCAAAACGGCTAGAGACTAAAAGCTTTTAATGCTTGCAAGTCCTGTCCGTTCATCGTGCCAGCTTTAAGAGGGCAACAAGTGAAGACAATACTGCTTGAGAAACTCGAATCGACGTCAAAATTGCCACTGTACGTACAGAAATTCTTCATCACATTAGTACACTCCACCTGAACGCACGAAATTATAGACAAATTAGAAGATCCCATCTTTAACAAAGTTGAAAATTTACAAAAAACAATAAAGCTTAGGGAATAAAATCCAACTGAGATATGAGCAAAATACTAAGTGACCGATTCGTTCTAAAAATCTAAAAACTATGCTGCCGGATAGCGAATTGAATTCTGTACAAAACGCACTATTTGTTTTGAAGTTTGAACATCGGGAAAAATATTTAAAAAAATAAACAATTTATTACCATTTTTCGCTATTTTTTTACTCGTTTCTAAGAGAGTTTTATTATCTCTTTTTCTTTGATCTAAGCACATACAAGCAAAAGTAAATACAGATTCTGGAAACCCGAAGAATTCTCTACAACCTTTTTATACTAAGCTTTTTCCTTCAAAGTCTCACTTCAGAGTAATAGTGAAAATTCATAAAGGCCTGAAAAAAAATTTTCATTTTTTGTCATTCCGTCACGATTTCCCATTTCGCAATAACTTTTGATCAATGCAATTAATCAAGCTGCAATTTTCAGAGCTGAGAGAACTAGTAGACTTACATTAGCAAAAGAATTTTCCACCTAAACTATTGCGTAGTTCGGCAAATAGAGGTAGCAAAAGACGAAAAACTGCCATTCTGCCACTCTTGGCCGAGCCGAGCTGTGACGAAATGACAATGGTATGGATGTGCCATGGATTAGGTTAGGTAAGATCAGGGACATGATAGAGTATGGTAAGAATGCACAGTCATATAGTTAGGTAAGGTGAGGTAATGGCGGAAAATTCAAAGAAACTTCCACACGTTACCTAACACTCTTAGGTTAGGTTAACCCGTTCATTCGGATCTCTGGAAAACCACTTCGTATCTCTCGAAACTAAACCGGCAATCTATCGACTTTTTTCCATACGTAGATAGTCCAAAGTATCCTGTTTAACATGGGAATCAAGCGAACTCTCAGTTATTTATGGTTTAGGCGTGGTATCGGATTTCCACAAAACCCCAGGATCAATATTTCTTTAGATGTGGTAATCTCAGAAACGAATGGAAACATAGGTAATCGACTACGGTGAATCTTCTGGCAACATTTGTCTTTCAAAACAGTTCCAGAAACCTAGTGAAAACGTATATTAGGTGAAGTAACTTATTTTTGCCTATTTTCACTTATTGATATGAAATCGTTGTACCAGTGCTTTATTGAACACTAAAATTTTAAGCAGTTTTTAATCCTTCACGGCCGAGTGTTGACTATCGATAACATCGATCTATTAAGTGTCGAAGGAATTTCGTTCTAAAAGAATACACTTTGCCGATCCCTGACACAGCAAAACAATAAATATAAAGGGAGGAATATTTTTATTAGTTAATTTTTGGCAGCCGACAGAAAAGGACTATGCACAGAAGGGAATATTGTTACTAATTGGCTTATGCAGCCGGCCGTAAAAGGTTAAAAAAGTCACATCTGAATCTCGGTACTATATGCTTTGGGATAATTATGATCACTCTACTGTTTTTCATGCGGGAATTATGCTCAATCCGTGCAAATTACGCGGAATAAACAGAATTTGATGTACGTCGGTCTCTAGAAGCCGGCTTTTAGCCTTCAAGCGAAGAATGTCTTCAGAATATTTGTTATGTCACGTACTAGAGTCGTGCCATAAAGGAGAAGATCATAGTCAAGGTTATTGCATCAGCCTTAGTCAACAGGATAGAACAGTTCTAAAATGGTGCAAGAACCTAGAATATCACAGTATTGCATAATCATGGTATCGGACATCGTTTCTTAAGATTATGCAACAACTTAGTATATATATGTGCGTTTTTATGTAATAGAGTGTGTGTGCTATCTTTGTATAAAGTTTTCTCAAATAAACGTTAGATGAGAAAGACCTTAGTTCACCCGGGAACCTAACAATATTATAATTAATTACATATGTAAAAAGCGGAAGAAAAACGCATGTTTCTAACGAGTACTGTGCATAGAATGAATATCGCTGATTATAAATGCATTTCTGTTGATTAAGATTAGCAGAATAATTAAGTTAGAGCGTTAATTGGCAGTCGGATAACGAACAAGTTGAACTTTTTTAGTACATTGTCAAATTCTCGTTCTAATAGACCAACGATTTTTAAACCATATAACGTCAATCGTTCCCTTGGAAATAAGCACCGGCATCCTCTGTACACCTATACACGATCAGTATTTTTATCATTGGAATTTGTATATGAATGAAATAGCATCTTACTTTAATCATTAGTACAACAAGCATCTTTTTTTGAGAAATTATTAGCGTTATTTTTCAAGCTTTTGAGAAACAGTTATGTTTTGGACGTCATTTTTGTGTCATTGGGTATGTTATGTGCTGTATTTCAAGCTGGACGATTGACGTTGTGTTTTTAAAAAACTTTTTGGTCTATTAGTACGAGAATTTGACAATGTACTAAAAAAGATCAACTTGTTCGTTATCCGACTGCCAATTAACGCTCTAACTTAATTATTCTGCTAATCTTAATCAACAGAAATGCATTTATAATCAACGATGTTCATTCTATACACAGTACTCATTAGAAACACGCGTTTTTCTTCCGCTTTTTACATATGTAATTAATTATAATATTCTGAAGACATTCTTCGCTTGAAGACTAAAAGCTGGCTTCTAGAGACCGGCGCGCATCAAATTCTGTTTATTCCGTGTAATTTGCACGGATTGATCATAATTACCCCAAAGCATATATACAGAAAAAATGACTATCTCTTTTAATTTTCGTAATTTTTCATTAATTAATTCGGGTCAAGTCCGAATGATGTGCAATTCACTGATGTGCAATGAGAAATAGAGTAAAGAATTCTCTACAAAATGAACTAATTTTTAATTTTTTTCTTGAAATTCTCCATTGAAACAAAGTTCTTTAAGTTCGTCTATATTTGGACAAAATATTTTCTGCTAAAAATAAGTTTAAATTATTGATAATAATCGGACAATATTTGTGGCAAAGTATGGGACTTCCGGGAAGTCCCGTTTGTATGTTAGATCAGAATTACTACGCACAACCAGAGATATGCGCCGCCGCTGCCACCATGCAGTTAAACTTTTATCGCCGCCGAGGGCGGAGAAAATTTTTCAGAGAACGCAGGGTTCTCTGACTATTTTTGTTAGTACGTTCTTACCTTACACTGTAATGTTGGGAATTATTTATAGAAAATGCTCGGCGATTTTCAAAAAGTCCATATATAAATTCCCTGAGGATTTTCTAGATTCTAGAAAACCGAATTTACAAGAAACTTGGAAATTCGATCTCGATTTTCCAGAATTCACGAAATTCGAAGTCGAATTTCTATAAATAATTCCCAAGATTCTTGAAATTCGAAGTCGAGTTTCCAGAATTCTGGAAAATCGAGGTCGAATTTCCAGTTCGATTTTCTAGAATTATGGAAAATGCTCAGCGATTTTCAATCTGGAAATTCCTCGGCGATTTTATATATGGACTTTTGGAAATTCGAAAAATGAAATTAATTTCCAG